GCCAAATCGTTAACAAATTAATTACCAATTAATAAAATACATCTATACAAATTAATAAAATTGAAGTGTCTGTTTGTAATGTCAAAATAACAGCTTTTTACTAAATGCATAATATGAAAGTACATATGGTACTAATAACAAAAAACAGTTTTAAACATTTTTGTCTGTCTGTTTGTTCCGCCTAATCTCCGAAACGGCAGGACCGATTTTAACGGGACTCACTGCTAAATAGCTGACGTTATAAGGAGTAACTTCTGCTACTTATATTTTAGAAAAAGAATTAGGGTTCCGCGCAACATAATTAAAACCCTAAATTACACGCGGGCGAGGTCGCGGGGAACAGTACACAATAATATTGGCAAAGAGTTCCATTTTCAAAATTTGAACTTATTTTTTTATTATATCGTATACAAATGGCCAGTTCTAAAAACTTTCAGTGTCGCCCTCGTACGAAAGCCTTTTTTGGAACGGAAAAGAAGTACATATGTGTGCAAGACGATTCATAATAACTCATGAGACAACACGTAGACGCGACTCAGTAGGAAAATCGGTCAGAAATTCTACAATATATTTTTTAACAAATCGTCCCCGTCATGTATTTTGTCAAATATTTCACCTTGTTTCTAAGTGGCGCCGCCCTAGTATCAAAAAAAAGTCGTGGATGCCCTCATTGACCACGGGTTGGCAATCGTATTTTATTTTTTAGTTGTTGTTATCAAGAAGCTGCTGCCCATTTCCTGGTCTGTTTCCCTCTGTCACCTTTCACGACACCCACAAGACGATATTGGGTAGTTCAATTCAGTGTGTACGTATGAGAAATTAAAATGTTAAAATAATTAAAACAAGTAGTCAGTAAATTTGCTCTATAGCGGCGCTAGAAAGAATGAAGAGCATTTGACGAAGCATGCCGCATACATTTGAATAGTTGCCAGCTGAGCAGGTGTAATTCTTTATACTCGTATTATAGAATAAGAGTGACAAACGAGCACACAGTCCACCTGATGGTAAGTGGTTGCTGTGACCCATAGACATCCACATCTATCCTCAATAAAAAATCAAAATGCAGACGCGTTGTCACCCGTGAGGACTAAGATGGAATACCTCTTTTCCAGTAAAAAGGGTCTCCGGGTCTCTACACTCACTATACGAAACACAGCAGTGTTAAGCTGCTATTTTACGCTGGTATTCTGTGAGATTGTGGTCCTTCCCCGGTTCAGCCGAACCATTCGTGCTACAACTATACTACTAATATAGCTGCAGCATGGCTCTACCACGTGGGTAAATACTTGCATACATAGTACATACATTCGCCACGTATGCGGCTCGGTTCGCAGTTATGTTTGACAAGGCCTTTACTGCGTCCTGTTTTTAAACTGATTTTTCCTGGTTTTTCCAACTTCATATCCTAGCTTTTTTAAATTTGGGGTTGGCAACCCTACGCAACGATATAGTCAAGTACGAAGCACGAAGTTATGCGGTCGTGAAATACTAGCAATATTATCATTTCTTATAATATAATATAGTAAGTACATGTAACAGACTTTGTAGGCACGTGATTATGTCTTACTCAACAGTTATCAGCACATAACCATATATAGCGTTCCAACATGTGACCACTGTTATTAAATTAAAAGTGATAATAGGCATGTCTACGTAATTTTAATTAATGTGAACAATAATTAATTAATACTTAACACCGCCCAAATTTCGACGGAATCAAAGGCTTTCTCATAGTTCACATACGCAAGACAAAGCGGTAGATTGTACTATTCGGTCTTCTGTACAATTTAACAAAGAACATGTGCGTGGCAGCATATGTGTATGATACCAAAGCCTTTTCGGGGACCGAAAGGAAGTCGTCAAGTCTGCTTGCTAGATGATTGTTAATGACAAATAATAGAATCAGGTGTTACTTTGTGGAAATCCACGAATTAAAGATGTTTTTTAATAGAATAAGGGTGACAAACGAGTACACATTCCACCTGATGGTAAGTGGAAACTGTGGCCCATAGATATCTAAATCTATCCTCGCTTAAGAATTAAAATTCAGATGCGTTGGTGACCTCTGAGGACTAAGATGGAATATCTCGTTTCCAATAAAAAGGGTCTCCGGTTCTCTACACTCACCATACGAAAAACGGCAGCATTAAGCTGCTATTTTAGGCTGGTATTCAGCGAGAGCGACGCATTCGTGATACAACCATAATATAGGTTTTTTACGTGATACAACCATGCTGCAGCTATATTAGTAGTAGGTATAGTTGTAGCACGAATGGATCGACTCGACCGGGGAAGGACCACGCTGTCACAGAATACCAGCGTAAAATAGCAGCTTAACGCTGCTGTGTTTCGTATGGTGAGTGTAGAGAACCGGAGACCCTTTTTAATGGAAACGAGGCATTCCATCTTAGTCCTCACGGGTGACAACGCATCTGCATTTTGATACGTAATCGAAGATAGATGTAGATGTCTATGGGCCACAGCAACCACTTACCATCAGGTGGACTGTGTGCTCGTTTGCCACCCTTATTCTATAAAAAAAAAACTTTTTGTTTTTTAAAAGGCCAACAACGCACCTGCCGTTACCCTACGGTTGCAGTTGTTTATGGGCAGCGATAGTCACTTACCATCTGGTGAGTCGCATGCTCATTTTTGTTCCTCTTATCTACAAAAAAGTTCACACATGCATTTTTGCTCCAGTAGACTAATTTCATATGCCTCACTGCGTACTTTCAATAAGTCTCTTAGTGTCATACTTTCTGGCACGACCAAAAAGGATTTCATTAATTTTTTTGCAGTATAAATTTATGAAAAGAAAGTACTTTAATGTACTTTTGAATTTAGAGTATATTTAAAATATATATTTCTTATAGTTTCGATATTCCATTACATGAGATTTTAGGATAGTCAGATCATTCCTAAAGCCACAAATCAACAAAAATTACTGTAATCAAAATTAACATCATTTTACAGGTAAATTGGGCAGTTTTAAACAGATTTTTAGCAAACCAATTTCTTTGTGTACCTACTGTCTGTTGCAAAATGTTACACCAATGTTTTATTTATCCTAGATTAACGAAAAAACTTCCACCTCGTACAACAACCACTATGCCGAAATAATAATAATGTCCCCCAAACCGAATTTTCAATCACAGTGGCCAGCCTCAATGGAGGCTAACCATCTGTGCAGGACAGGATTATGTACCAAAGTATAACAATCTAATAACTGATTATTGGCCTGACCCAGGATTCAAACCCCGGATATCATGATGAGCAATCACGACTACTAGACTAAATGACGGCTCCGTGGCGCTGTGGCTTAATAATGAGTAGCAACACTGGGGGCCGTGATTTCGAATCCCGTACGGAACAAATATTTAGCCTACAGACAATTGTTCCGGGTCTGGATGTCTAACCTTGTGCAATTTATGTTTGTAAACTACCTCCATGATACAGGAGAAAATACAAAACTAGGCAGTCGCGGTATGCTGAAATATGAAAACTATAAGAGTACACCATTTAAATTCAAAGGTATTTTAAAGCTATTTTTTTAAGTGAAAACTTCTTTAGAAGCATTGTGATTTGAAACTCAATGGAAAAAAGCAACACTAAAAAGAGACAAACATACCTCTATAAGATTTAGCCTGCGCGAGAATTAGGTAGAATACAGTGTTGCAAGCGACAGTAGCTTAATGGCAGGGTGCGGACTGCAAACTGAAAAGGTTGTGGGTTCGAATCCACCTTTCCTCTACTGAACCACTCCTAACACAAGCATTTTCAGCTTACCAGTATTGGTTAAAGGGAATGTTAGTAATTTTAATAGCATTACTACTAATTTTTTTCTAAAATACAGTGTTTCCTATTATCTCTGTGTCCTCTTTGTGCAGTGATGTAAAGATGGTTAGTATAAAATTTTACTGTTAATATAAATAATATAAAAATATAACTAATATATTAAAGAAATAAAATTAACAGCAGCAAAAAGCTGGCTACATCTACACCTTAATCCTGATGATAGTTCCTGATGATAACTCCACAAAAAGTCATTTAACAGGCCAATGTTTTATGTGTGCATGAGCCACTCTTTATCACAGCTTTATTATGTCAAACAAAACAAAAACGGTCCACACTTTTTAGAGAACTTTATTGTAAAATAGCAGCATAATGATGTGTTTATATAATGATGACAATCACAAGCTGGTTACTGAGCACTAAGATGGAATACTTCACAGTGTGCAATTATACTCACTCTCAATACCCTTTATACAGGAACACAGAGAGCAAGCACTACTGTTTGGTGCCTGAAAATGCTATGAGGCATATTACCTACCTTGATAGACTTCTAGGTAGAAAAGGAGTCTTATCACCTAGTTTCAATGTATTGATTCTTAATTAAGGTTAAATGTAAGTGTCTGAACAATAGCACTTACTAATAAGTCAACTGTGTGCTAATTTGACCTCTTGTATAAAAATTAGGCCCAAACCTTATTCACTAAAAATTCTAAAAGAATCATTAAAAAATTATCTTACAGGTATAATATGATAAAATCTAAGTTGATCTAGAATTGTAGTTACAGAGTACTACAGTCAGGCTAAAAGCTTAATTATATTATAAGATTTATGAAACAATTACATATTTTATTATACTGCAACAAAAATTAAATTGTAAAAGAGCTAGGAAATGAAAATAACATACATTGACTTTATTTAATCTCTGTAAAACTAATAGATGATCTCTTATTAGTTTCCTTATCAGTGGTTTGCGAATAGAAACAAAGGATTTGACATATAAGTCGAGTGAAAATGTAAGTATAAATAAAAACAATTTATCAAGGCTAAACTGACAAAGAAAAACTAATTATTTGGGTATATAACTTAAAAAAATCTGTTTAAGTATCTAATAAAGGTGCAATTTCTTAGTCGAAAGTAAAAATACCATTAACATTTTATTATAATTTAAAACTAAAAAGATGAATTTACTTTGTGAAATACATACTTACCTAGAAGTGGTATCCTCGGATCATCGCTGTCCATGTCTTTCGTCCACTTGTGCAAATAAATCCATTATCATACAACTATAAAATCGTATTATGTTACGTATTATTACGACACATTTTGTTGATAAAGTACCCTGATAGTACACATTGTTTATTTTGTTTCGTATAATCGTATTCGCGGTCAATTTAATTATTTGTGTTTAAGATTCGCCAATTAAGGCATACAAAAGTCTTACACCATACAGCCTTATCTGATATTTATTTTAATCACTAAATACTTCATAGTAAATGCTGATGCGGCACATTACGAAGTTTTTGGGAGATTTTGATGCCAGATTAATCGAGCGGATAGTTGATAACGATGGTACCTACCTAAAGCCGTAAGACACTCATGTGGATAAAAAAATTGTGTGTGTAATTGTGTACATACGTACCAAGTGAAACTTCTTTATGACATATCATTCTTTTTTTATTTTATTGCACAAGCAGCCCCGGCGGTTAAACGTGAAACCTTACAAGAAAACATGTTTTTTAACACCGTACCTAATGAGGGCTAATAATCTTCCACACACCAGATGTCGCTAGTTGTGACTGAGGTAAAATTTTTTGCTACATCTTCTATGCATTCTGTCATTGAATTGAGAAATTAGTTTTAAATAATACTTTATCATTATAATAGAGTATTATATTTATATACAACACACAGCGTCAGTAGTTTGAGTTTTAATTTTTTGCACTTTATAACTCGTTTTTTAGTTTTCCACTTTTAGTTATATTTATAGTTTGGATTATTCATTTCTAATCTAATTAATATAAAATGTAACTAATACTACGGAAAGAAACCTTAAAGTTTACATTTTCCTAAGAAATTATCGTCCCTGCTATGAAATCTGTCAAATATTTTACCGCGCTGTAAAGTGGCGCCCCCTGGTGGCAGATAAAGTCGTGGATGCCCTCATTCTCCACTACGTCGATACTCATAAACCTTGGTATTTTTATCACCATCGGAGCACTTGTCTTATCGTTCCCACTAATAGTACAAGTAAATGTGCAGACATTTAATACATAAAACTCCATCACTTTTTCGTATCAAAATCTATTTCAATCCTTCAATTATAGAACAACAATCCGACGGCAGTTAATTTCCCGCCAAAACAAAACTCTACAGTTACTTTTTTAAGACAAAGGGATTTATACCCAATACAGTTTAATCTAACAACAATCGTTAGATTAAACTGTAAGGGAATAAATCCCTTTGTCTATGTTAACGAAATTCTTCACAATAACAGTATTGTGTATTGTCAGCAAATCAGCATGAGTCACATTGCAAAGATCTTGAGAGGTTTGATAATACCATCGATATACAACATGTAACTAAAATCCTGAGGTTCCCGTTAAGTGTGTTATCAGAATCAATATTCAAACGTATATAAATAACTTTTTTCAGAAAACTCCACCATTAAAATTTATATTCAATAAAAAAAAATTGTAAATTGTAATTGTATTTTATTACCTCTGCATTGTCCGGGGATTAAGATGATTGTCAAAGATCCCGCTTTACCGATGCTCGTGTCAGTTATAAGTAATAAAACCACATACAGTTTGGAATTTTTTTTTAATTAAAATAAATTGTTTTTAATGGTCAAGTTTTCTGAAGAAAAATATATTTATACTACGTTTGAATACTGATCCTAATAACGCACATAACAGCAACCACAGGGTTTTAGTTATGTACATATTGTATATGTTCTACGCACGAGATTCTGAACACTCACTATGTTCAACTGAACTGTACTGCAATCCAAAAAGTATACAACATGTAACAAAAACCTTGTGGTTCCCGTTAAGTGCGTTATCAGAATCAGTGTTCAAACGTATAGAAATATTTTTTTTTCCAAAATTCGACAATATAAAATTGTAATTTTAATAAAAAACTTGTATGAGATTTTATTACATCTGCATTGCCCGGGGAGTAAGAGGATTGTCAAAGACCCTCTTTACCGGTGCTCTTGTCAGTTAGAGGTAATAAAACAACATACCAACAAAACACAATTTGTAAATATTTTTTTTGATTAACATAAAAAATATAATGGTCGGGTTTTCTGAAAAAAAAAATATTTTCGCTTCTAACACCATGTAATTGGTCAATTTTATAATGCATATTTGATTTTTTTTAACAATTCTATAAAACAACCACGGCTCCTTTAGCAAAATTAAATTAAAAGCAATCTAAATCACAAATAAAACCGTTTGATTTGACATCCAACCTATTCGATCAGACAATGTCATTGATAGACATATTGTTACGAGCTTGGGGTTCGTGACAATTAAAAACTGCCGATTGAATTACCAAAATTGACTCTATAATTACACAACACTAATTACAATCTAAAACCACACTAATAATAAACACAATTTTACTACTGATCACTAGTTCGCAGTTATTTCGCTTCGAAGTATTCTCTTGTATCGCCAATTCAATACTGCCTCGGTCGTGGTCTATACCGGCCTTATATAGGGCCTCAGATAGTTTTCAGAACCTTCTACTGTAGCGACATCTAGAATGTTCGAGTACATATCGGTCCCGAAATTTCTGGAAGGATGTTGACTCTCCTAGTTCTGCTACTCGACACTAGAGGGCGCTAGTGTAACTAGTGTTGCCATGTACAAGACATTAATAGTGGCGCGCAACAATATTACGAATAGTAGAAAGTAGAGATAACCGCCATTAAAATAAGCTCCCGTTTCGTACATATAATTTTTACTATGGAAGTTGCACAAGCCTGTGGCAATCCGTACACCTTACTTTAAACGTCTTTTTTTATAGGATAGGGTGACAAATGAGCACACGGTCCAACTGAGTATGTGGTTGCTGTAGCCCATAGACATCTACATCTATCCTCTTTTGCGAATCAAAATGGGGATGTGTTGTCACCCGTGAGGACTAAGATGGAATGCCTCTTTTCCAGTAAAAAGGGTCTCCGGTTCTCTACACTCACCATACGAAACACAGCAGTGTTAAGATGCTATTTTACGCTGGGGGCTAATATTTTTCTGCTAACCAGATGTCGCTAGTTGACACTGAGGTAAAGTTTTTTGTTACACAATGTAATTTAATCCAGAAGTTGTTTTTTAATAAAAGTTTAACAGTTTCTAGAGTATTATATTAATTGATCAAACAATGCGTCAGTAGTTTGCACTTTAATTTTTTGCACATTTTTAGCTTTTTTTTTAAATTCCACTTTTATGAATATATAGGTTTGGTTTATTTATTTTAATGTTAATAATTTAAAATATAGCTAATAGTAAGTAAGCACAGAAAGAAACAATAACTTTTACATTTTCCGAACAAATTAACTTCCCCACTATGAAATCTGTCAAATATTATACCTCACTTTCTAGTGGGGTATAATATTTGTATTTCAATGTTTTTTTTTATATGTGTGTTACCTCATAACTTTTTACTAGGTGGACCGATTTCGATGATTCTTTTTTATATGAAAGCTGATACTTCTCGTGTGGTGCCATATGAATTTGATCAAGGCCAGCCCATAGTTTTTGAGTTATTTGAGTTATTTTTAATAACTTATATTGAAGTCGGCTGTAAAAAAATTTAAATTTTTAATTATATTATTTAGGGATCGGGTGGACAAAAGCTGTCTTCCATGAATTCGGGACTACGCCTTGGGAGTAGGAGTACCGGAAAAGACGCGTTAAAACCGGTGCCAACTCCGGAGCACACGTCCTCAGCACAATTAGGGGGATTCCGTCAGGCCCACTCGACTTCTGGATGTCCAGGGAGAGGAGTGCTTTGCGAACCGAGTGCTGTGAGAACAGCACATCTGGCATGGAGCACTCACACCGCGGGATGGTCGGCGGTGTTTTCCCCCCGTCATCAAGAGTCGAGTTGAACGCAAAAAGGGAGCCTAAAAGGTCGGCTTTGTCTTTTGCAGCTTGGGCCAGTGAGACGTCCCCCTGAGCAGAGATGGTAGTGATGGCTTACAGCAATTCCTTTGGACAGCCTTGGCGAGAGACCAGAATGCACGGGTACCTACTATTATCAAGGTCTCGTCCCTCATTCACCTATATACAGGGTTATTTTTCAAAGAGTAACCAAAGAGCAATGGCAGACTTTCATACATAAAATTAGTTGAGAAAAAATGGTAGCGTCTATATACCAAAAATATCTTAAAATGTTAAGCGTCAGTCCCTTAATAACTCTGTCAAAGAATTTTGTACTGAGAAGGCGTCAAAAAAAAGATATTTACGTTTGAACCTTTTTAGGTTATGTCCTATGTCACTTGGAAAAAGTCATGCTTCCTGTGTTTGTTTGATGTTAGCTTAATACATAATACATAATTGAGAGTTTTTAGATTATTGTATCTCTATTATATATTTGCATACTATAAATGTATATTTTTGGCATAGCTCCAGGGCTTTTGTACCATAGTGACATTCTCAGAAGGACTAGAACCCAGAGCCGGAAAGCCAGAAAAAAAAGTGACATTTTTTTTTGGAGTTTATGGCCTGGTATCTAGACCTTTAGGCCAAGTCTTAAGTATTTTTATTCGGTTTATTGTAATTTCCCCACTCCTTCATAGTATACTGCTTCACAATATGTTGGTGCGTCACATTGTGCAGTTCTTGGGAGATTTTGGCGGCAACTTGATCCAGCAGACAGCTGATAGTGTGCGATGGTATCTAAAGGTGCCTATGCAACAGCTTATCTTGAGAATCCATCACCATCAGAGCACTTGTTTCACTGTTTCCACTAATACATAGTTCACATGCGTAGACACTTAATACACAAAATCGCAACACTTTTATATATCAAAGTCCACTTCAAACCATTATTTAAACAATAATACAGGAACAGCAAACCGCCGCCGGTCAATTTCCCGCCAAAACTCTCAAAAAAGTGACATTTTATTTTAGCTAGTGTTGGCATAACATTAAATGGAATTGTTACATAGTACTATGATTGAGATAATGTATTATTGTAGGAAATTCTTTGTAAGAGACTTATTCTCAGCCATA